GAAAAGGAAACAAAAAGTATTTTTAGCACAGTAGAAATTTGCAAAGATGTTACCAGCACATATCTATGTCTGAAGACACATCTTTCAGTTCTGCAGTGTGCTGATGCAGTGAACAGCATGAATAGTGTGCCAAGAGTCTGAAAATTGATCGTCTGATATTTACCCTTTTTTCATGATTTGGAATGATGCAACGGACAAAGTTGGGATTGGTATTCCTTAAGGTGGTCATCAGTTTGGTCAGCTGCTCCTTATAGAGTTGGCCCACAGTACGGAACATGCCTTTTTTGGTTTTTGAAGAGCTAGGCAGTGAACTTTCAGTCATCTTGGCCATCTGGTCTAGACCAACAATACGATCCACTGCAATATAAAAGAATATGTGAATGGGACTGCTTATATAAATTCTTTCACCTCGCATTACACTTTTCACTGCCATTGCTAAAGTGCACCTTCCAAAAGAGGACCAAAATACTTTTGATGCAATTGAAGCATGCTAATGAAAGCATTACAGGATATTTCTAGGTAAATAGTCTACTTATGTCTAACTCAAAAATAAGGATTTTTGTTAAGTAGTGGAAGAATGGAACAATTGAATGCACAGCACGTGTTTTATGGCTGCTCTACAAAGGACAGTCCTGCAAAGTATCCCTACTAGTAGGTTGTGTTACAATGTGTGACAACCATTAAATATGTGTAGTGTAGTATGTGTCTTAAAGGTCCATGGAAAATTTTTAAACAAATGCAGTGTTTTCTATACATACAGTTATTCTTCTGGTGTTATTTGAGATAAAACTTTGCTGAAGAGAATTGTAATAGAATTTTTGGGAGAGGAGCATGTCAGTTAAGGACTGCACATGGTCTTTCATAACAGCAGTGACAGTGTATTAAATGAGCTGTCTGATATATTCCATAACATTGTAGTAGCATAACTAATATTTTTTATTGCGTGGCTGAATAATATTAAGTAAGGAAATGGTTAAGTACTACCAAAACAATCTAATATGCTTTTCATAACTATTTAGAAAAGAGTACTCTTGTCTCTTAGGTCAATCTCTTCCACTCATCATATTCACGCTTGTTTCCCACTCATAAAGGAGTGTTGACAGAACAGTTCTAGTACAAGTTTCTCTCTTTAAACCACATTAATGGTTTAGAGTTGTGATTCATACCATCTTTCCAAAGGTCTGCCACAAATTTGTCTGAAGACTGGTTTAGCAGAGAAGTCACATTGTCGTTTAATGGATCCATATTCTTTGTCAGCCAGGCGCTGGCATTGTAGGTAACCTACAGAAAACAACGCTGGGTCAAAAATCTGTTTTGCCAGAATTATGGCACAGCCAAGAACACAGGGCACTGTTCTAACATAAAATAATTTGAAGAATAGTAAGATTTGAAAAACTTTCTATAGTTGAGAGCTGAGTTAAATACTTGTTCTTGCATGAACTTCCTTCCATCTAAAGAGATTTTTTTTGCAAACATACCCATGGCAGAGGAACCATTATGCCTTTAAAAATCTGTTTGCTAGAGAGGAACCCAAATTACTTGAATATTCAAAACCGCAGTGCTGGTTATTTTTGTTTTCATCTGAGCTTAGCACAACCATGAATGTTGTGCAAATCTTATTCCCCATCTTTTGTAGTTGAAGCCCTTAATATATACATTATATAACTAAAGCCATCCCTATCAATAGGAGAACAAGATTGATTCATTGTTGGTCAAACAGTAAAAAAAAAACCCAAAGTTCTATAAGTCAAAGTAGCTCAGTTTCTCTCATACCTTTCCTGCATAGTGCAGTATGCAGAACTCAGTTTTATCCTTGAGTTGTTTGGACTTCTGGAATTTGGGATGGTTGCCTTGTTCTTGAATTAGTTTTTCCACAAAGGAAGTGTCAGTGGCTTTGGGGAACCAGCACTCTTCATCCAGCAGAGCTAGGACACCTGGGGGGTTGGTCTGCAATGAGAAATACCAGATCAGTATCACCAAAGCTGGAGACAAAGAAAGAACACCACCTTCTTTTTTCTTTGTTACTAATCCTCCCAGGCAACAACAATCTGAGATATCTTAAATGCTTCTCATATTGATACATAATGGACCCTGATGAAACCTACATAGTATCCCATCTATACAGATATAAACTTACTGGTCTTTCAATTAGCTCAATGCAAGGTTGCAGGTCAAGGCCAAAGTCAATGAAATTCCATTCAATGCCCTCACGTTGATATTCCTCTTGCTCCAATATAAACATTGTGTGGTTGAAAAGCTGCTGAAGTTTCTCATTAGTGTAATTGATGCACAGCTGCTCAAAGGAATTGATCTGTGAGGAGGACAAAATAATTGAATTTCTGATGTTAGAAAGATACCTGAAAGAGGCAACTTAATGTCAAGATAAAAATTTCTACATTCTATTTTTTTTAAAGATTATTGTAATTGAAAGGATCCATATTTTTCTAATTTTAGGCTTTGCAAATGTACAGTAGGATCACATGTAGTAAATCTCAAAACTGGGACCTGTCCAATAAACCATAAAGACCAGACGTTGGTTCTAAACACAGAGTCCCCCAATAGCCCAGCAGTGATGCTGCCAGTTCCCAGCCCTTCCAAGCAGCATAGTCCTGTGGGTTGTCTTGGCCATGTGCTGCTCTCCAGCTTGAGAGAATCGAATTGTTTATGTGGCTCTGAATTTAGATATTTGTTATCTTGCATTCCAAACTACAGCATGACAACAACAAGTTTAACTAATTTGTGTCCCACAGCACATACCTCAAAAATCTCAAATCCAGCAATATCAAGGATCCCCAAGAAAGAAGCTCCCTGTCGTTTAGTTTTATCAAGAGCTTTGTTCACACGAGTTAGAATCCAACGGAAAAGACGTTCAAATTTTGCTTTGGCCAAAGCCTCTACGGCAAAGTCAGCCTGAAAGAGAGAAAATTCTAAGTGAAAGAAGAAATCCAATTAACTGCTAATTTAAGTAAGGATAACACAGAGAAAGAAAACAGATACCCTTTAGATGTGATGTAAGAAAGAAAAGAAGAAAGGGAAAATAACTCGAGCAGAGCAGACTGCAAGTAGGTACCTGCTCTTTGGTCTGAGCTTTCTGAACAACATCTCGTCCTACTTTGATCCTTGGGGTTAGAATAGATCTTGTGAAATCAGTCACATTAATCCCCATCAGGTGACAGACTTTTTGAGCAGCTAGAATAAAAAAGTGATATTGTATTTCAGATTGAATTTTCTCTTAGTGTGAATACAAGCAAATCAACAATTACGTAATGTAAATTATCTCCCTTAAAAGCTCCTCTGTTGTACACGCAAGAGATGCCACTTGCTGTAAAAGTATTATTCATGATACAACCAAGGAATTCACTGATCATCAATTTATGGATGCAAGATTACCAAAAAAGGTAATGAATATTGAACTGATTCTAAGTATGGCATAACTTTTAAGACCTGTGAAGCATATGCACATTCACAGTTTAAAATCTTGATGAAGAGTGCTTTCTCAGCTGCTATTTTATTGCTTTCTTAATGTTAACAAACTTTTTAAAGTGACAAATCATACCAGTATTGTCAGGCATAGAAGCTTGATCAGTGTTTCTCTCCTTCTTGAAGACAATATTGCCCAGCTGCAGGACAGACGAAACAACTCTCAATATAGCTGTAAGATAAGCAGACAGTATAAATGAGGAATGGAATGGACACATTTTGAAAACTTAATTCTCTGTAATAATGAAAGTTCATTGCGTGGCCTTTGGTAGTCTATACTTCCATGGAAAGATCTAGATTTGCTATAAAAGACAGCTATAAACTGCAATAGTTTGAGAGCTTGCAAAAGAGCAGCTCAAATAAGCAATGCAATTGAGTAAATGGGCCACTAAGGGAACACCAGCATCTGCAAAATGTGCTGCATCCCCAGGTAGACCTCCAAATCTTGGGAATTCATCTCCACTCTGAGTGGCCTATGCTTGGTCATTTCAGAATCTGTGTCTATGTCTTCAAAATCAGACATATCTATGAGTTACCAACAGCTTTAAGAACAAGTGGCAATTTCAAAGCTCTGGCTGTGCAGGAATATGTGGCTGTTCATTCACACAAACAAATAGTGTACAAGTATTCACAGGATTAGTGCAAGTACAAAACAGTAATTGATTAACATTTCACTATTAAAATGTAGATAGATTTCATGCCTTTTTACCTCAGGTAGTAAAATCTGCTGCTGTGTTACAGATGATATCATATTAATCTAGGGAGGTCATTTCGTTCATTTGGCAGACTCATACAGGAGAATAATACTGTCCTAATGGGCTTGTATTTTAAATCATGAAATGAAAGGGGTTCAGACAGCAATACAACTCCTTTTGATGTCATGGATAGTGCTGCTATCAACACCAATGCATGTGTTCTAGCTGCAGAACGAAGCAGTTTTTGTCAGTACCACAATCTAACTTTACCAACACAGATTTGTACTACTGTCCTGCAAGGCAAAGCATTTTTTTTTCTTAGCACCCTCGGGCACTGATGCAGACGGGAGAGGTAACAGAAATCAGCTCTGGCTGACAAAGCTGCTCGAAGGCTCGAGGGATGCTGTGACACAGTTTCTGCCACCAGGTGGCACTTGAGGCATGGCGGCTGCAGCCATGTCAATGTATGCTGGTGGGCACCAGACAAAACCCTACACTCTCCCCGGAACTGTGAGGGGTAAATGGTGGTTGTTTGTTCATGTTTATTTTCCTTTTCTCTGGAACAGTGGACAAAAGTATGAGTTATTTCAGAGAATCACAGAATTTGAGGCTGATCCACTTATTTAAAAATTATGTGAAGTAAGATTCTACATTCATATGCTTATTTTGCAAAGTGCAAACTGCAGTGCATTTGGATCTGTATATATTATTACTTGCAAAATACAATCTTGCTAACAGTTCTCACCTATCTGTTCCTCCTCAGTAAAGCCCATAATTTTCATGGCTTCCAAGGTCTCCTGGAACATCTCATCATCTTGTTGAGCAGGAATAGGAACATGACCATTAGATAGAAAGGTATAGTTGTTGAAGCCTTCCAGCAGCAGATCATCTAAAAGACAAAGAAGAAAAGTGTAAGTGTGTCAGCTTAATGACATAAATATTACATTTACTTCTGTATGTAACCTAGTCAAAATTCTCTCTCTCTTCTTGGCCCACTAGACCTGCACATTCATAGGGAATAATAATAAGAATGGAACCAGGTAACAACAAAAGGGGTCCAAACCTTAAAACATTAAGCTCCATACAATGGCCATCAACAGATTCTTAGCATAAATATCAGGGAAAATGTAGAGTTATCTATTGCTTTATACATTCTTTCAGTCATGTAGGGAAAGATGTTGTACATAAGCCATGATGTTCCAATAGATGTTATATTGAATTCCTATTTTTTCATCCACTTACACGTTTCACCACGACATTATGAAACTGTGAGTTTCACAGTGTAAACATGAGCTGTGAGAAAGATATTCTCTCGATTGGAAAACTGCTAGCCAATAATTATATTTGGAACCCCCGTTTTTTTGTTTGTATGTGTGTAAAAAATAATACACAACTCCTCCTCATTCATCTTGATATCATTCAAGATGAATTAGTTTATATCTCCTGTCAATTGAAAAATAACAATAAACTGTAAACCACCTGGCTTAAACAGACACACAAGTTGAAACTTTTTTACTTCTATGGCTGAAGAGCTGTTTATTTATCAAAAGAATTGAATAACATTCTCTTTAAGATATTAAGATAAATCACATAGGTAAGCAATTCCTCATGCTGTTCAATGAGATGTAAGAATCATTAGCAAGTAACTTACTTCTCATTTGTTCAGAAGCTCCAGCAATCAAATAGTAAAAGATATGAAATGTTCGCTCATCTTTAGCCTGACGAATAGCACGGGATTTTTCAAGCAAATCTGTTTGTCAAGTATGTTAAAACAAACAAACAAACAAACATATTCAGGTCCTTCCATAATTGTGCTTTCAGTCTCAGAACCATTAATAGCATTGCTTAAATTTTTTGCCATGAGCTTATCTAACATGAATTTGGTTCTAATTTTGTGTCGAGATCACTAGTACTGGGTTTAATTATCACCATGAGAAGTAGATGAATTTCCTACCTCTTACTGTATGATAAAAGCTGATAATCATGATAGTAAGCTCTGCAATAGTCATAAATGCTTCTAAAGTTAAACACATAACAATGGTATTCATAACAACATTCACTTCACTTCCACAATTTCACAAATGTGATTCTTTCATCATAGGGTGGGGCTGCTAAAATTTTTTTGGAGGCCAGTATTGTAGCTATAGAAACAATAAAAGCAAACTTTATTTATTGTCTGCTTTCATGACTAAAATACTAAAAATGCAGTTGGCAGCAGTGTTAAGTATTTTGACATCAGTGGCTGATTTACACTTTAAATGATATAATGCTATAGATAAAAATTCAGATAAGACCTGAAAAAATAAAGGCCATTTTTGCTCTGGGTCACTTCTCAAAATAAGTGCAGAAAGCTAAACTGTTATTTGTTTGGTGTTACATTCAACAGATAAGGTCCTTCTTTTAGCTGTATGTTTATTTCTCCTCATTTATTGGAGCAAGCAGCTGCTCTTTGCAAAGATGAGCAATGCAGCACTGAGGAATTTAGCTACATCCCCATTTATACGCTATCTCATAAACATAACTCAGGCAAGAAGCATCAGTACTTGCCAAGTAAAGTCAATCTAAGTTGAATTTCTCTGAAATACTTTATTTCTGGAAAAAACCCACATCAAAGCTACCGATATATAGCTCTAGGTATGTCACTTGAATGACCAGGTCAATATTTAGTTCCCAGAGCAGACAAGTTCTCTGAAAATATCTACTGCTTGATGCCATCTGGGACATCAGCACCAGCAAAATATTTGTTTCACTTCAGTTATGCAAGTTCCCAGATTAGTAATTTCTGACCATGGTGATTTAACAAAACATGCAAAGATCAAGGCAGGTTCAGGGTAAACTGTCCTTCAGTTTGACAAAAGGAGAGCAACTACAGAGCATCCAAAGACTGTTCTTCTGGCTGCACCATGTTATTTGCTTTTTCTGTCTCTTTTATTTTTCCTACTATCAAGTTCTTAGTGGAGTAGGGAAAAGTATATTACTTTTACTAAGATGGCCATTTATCCTGCAGACATAAACTGTTAAGCTGTATTATCACATGGAATTCTCCCTCAGCAGGTTATTCTCTGTACTTTTTATTGGAATCTATCTATCCCAGTGCAGCATACATAATTTTTGCAGGAATGCCAAACCTGGGCTTGAGAAATGGGAAACATCCTGGATAAACTGTAGTGATAATGCCACATTCTCAGTCTTTTTTTTTTTCTTTTTTTTTTTTTCCTCTTCCCCCCGAAAGATTCTGTAACAGCACTGATGAGAAAGAGGAAAGTTTCAAATCTTTTTTATATTTGGAAACCTAGATGACAGGGAACTGGATTGACCCATGCAGGATTGCAATGTGAAACAAAACAACTGCATAGATCTCGAGATCTATCATGCAACCTCAACCACAAATCAGTCTCCTCCTCTTTCTGAAGCTGTATGTGAAGAATAGCATGCTTTCCTATAGATGAGAAAAGAGATCTGAAAATGTAAGCATAAGAGTAAGACAAACTGAGAATTTGGTACCAGCATAAATGGAACCACTTCCCTCCATCTTTGTTTATACCAGCCTGAGCGATATTTGCCTTTCTTAGACATGCAGTGGAGCTTGTTTATCTTTCTTCCTTCTGCTAACCCTAGCTAGCTTCCAGTGCTGTTCACAGAAAAGGATACAAGTCTCTATGTTTGCTCCGACAATGTAGCCTGTCACATCAAAGTTGATGCGGATAAATTTGCCCTGTGAAGGAAAAGAAGACCGAGGTTGGGCTGTTCTTTTAGGTTATGTTGGGTTTTACAACATTAGTGTGTAGGCTGTTCAGTGGGACATGTGCATCATCCTCTTAAGAGTAACATGCTCGATTTCCTCCTGCGAGGACAACCAGGCTGAAATGAACTCTGACAATGGTCAGTGTGGGAGTAGCATTAGATCTGAGGGATCCCTCTGCAGAGTCAGCAGAGGTAGGAGTGAAGGGCCTGCAGGGAAAATGAACATCTGCCAGCGCTCCCAACAAAAAGCAGCATCAAAGTTACAGCTCCCATCTACTGTAACTCTAATGTGAATCCATGTGAGATGCTTTTTCTCTTGTCTTTCATTTAAGTCATTAACAACTCTTGCTAAATAACAGGAATACCTTTCAACAAGATGCATACTCAACAGTGGTGCAAAGAAAAAGGAAGTACAGATTTTCTATTCAAATTTCTAGAGGATGATTTGTCCTGGAACAGTAGTTGACTTTGGAAGGCCACACACAGACCAGTAAACTGTGAGAGTACAATGGTGCTGTCAAGTCTGAGATTGATTTTTAGTCCTGTTAAAGGCCAAATTCCTATTTCAGAAAGAAATTCTAAACAATAATTCAAAGGGATTGGTTTAGAGGAGCTTTTTAGAGAGAAGTACTGAAGGTAAGAGGGTGACTCTTTGTACGCTGATTTAAAGAATGGTGTACCTCCCCACAGTGTAGACCCAAATGGATTTCTCCTACTTACAAATCTGGAGGAGTTGTCATTCTTCACAGTTTTGGCATTTCCAAAAGCTTCAAGAATAGGATTTGCCTGCAGAAGCTGTTTTTCCAGCTCACCCTAAAATTCATTCAGACTCAGTTAACCCTGAACTTCATAATTAGTTATTTAAAAACAGTACATGTACACTGGAGAAAAATGTGGAGAAAGATAATTTAAGCCTCTAACTTTTTTTGTTGAAGACTGCACTGCTTGTGGATTTGTTTTCATTCCCTGTTAATCTTTGTGTTTATATATTTGTGCAGTCAAGTGCTGTCCTGTATACATGACCCTTTTCCAGCCCTGTTGCCTGTGGCAGATCAAAGTCTGTTAATCTGTTTAGCATCATGACTGGTCTTTCTTAATAAGAGGGTCATTCAATGACAAATTATATATATATCTATATTTAGTTTAATGTCATTTTTAAAGAGATTTTCTTAAAGGAACCTCTAGCATATCTTTTTCAAGTTAGTTTATCGAGATCCTTTGCTAGCAAATGACGATGTAATTAGAATAACTTGCCGAGAATCATTTTAATGTAATGCAGCACAAAGCTACAAAGCAGATTTCACCAAGTCTATTAATAACGATCCATGCAAGGCTATTTAGGTTAAAAATGGAAATGCATTGATTTATTTCAAACTAAGATAATGAATTCTCATGCAAACACACAAACCTTTTATTATGTTGTTAATTGTGCTTGGTAATTGCTCGTGGAAACACATCATGCAATGAAATGAGCATGCATTTATTACTCCTATTTCTAAACAAACCAATGAAGCTGAAAAAGTCTTTGCTTACTAAGATGGTTTGACAGGTTTTTTTTTTAACTTTTCATTTAGCTCTGTGCTATGAAATTACTTTCACATTTGCTTCTTCTCACCATATTTGTGGACTACTTTACAGGAGCATGCCCCATTTTAAATAACTCATGCTGAATAACAGCAGAAAAAAGTCCTTGACAGATAATATGATACCATTTAAATCATTCTAATATAAAAATGAGTCAATATTTAAGTTGAATCCAGAAGCAACAATTTGGAAAATGACATTTCTTCCCAATTAGGGTGCAAAACTGGTAACCATCTAAATGCCATTTCTGAATTTCTTGTAATTTATATGGGAATTATGAGAGTTACCTCAAAAATATAACAAAAAAACAAGAGTTCTTAACAAATGGCTAAACTTATCTAAAATGACAGAAGAATGAGGACCTTCCCAAGAGTACAGATGTTTGGAGAGCTAGGGCATCAAGAAAGTCCACTGAACTCCATGGAGTTGTTTGGGTCAGCAATGAATTTAGTTTTTTTTCAGAGAGCTTGTCAGATGAATAATAAATAAAACTAAGGGGCATCACTTTGTCATAGCTGGTCTGAGAACCAGCAATCAGAATGGGGAAAAAGGATAATGCAAAAAATTGCCTGGCACACAAACGAACAGTATTATGCCAGCAAACCTGCCTATATTCCCAAAGTACTGATATGCTGGATGGCACACCACAGTGCAGGAGGGCCCACGAGGGCCTGTTACAAACTGCCATAACATACCTGCAGACACACGCTGCAGTGGGAACTGCTCTGTTACACATTACAGCAGCAAGCTAGGAGCATGCTAACCTTTGCGGATGTGAACAGTCCTCAACAGTTACATGAAAATGTAAAATTGAAAGCAATATCAAATGGAAAGCATGCAGCCAAACAAATCAATCAACACCGTGAGTTTTAGGAATTATTTCACAACAGTCCTAGAAAGTTCAACCTGAAGTATGGAAAACATTTAGATATTTTCATTCAGAAATCACATTGCTCAATTTCAGGCTGAGTGACTCTTTCAGGATCGTGGGAAATTTCATTCAAACTATGGCAATTTAAACACACACATATAGAAGAGAGTGATATTTGAGAGATGACCCTGCCTGTGTCAGACCTCATTCTTCATCATGGGGCCTGACACAGTTAGGGTTGATTTGTGAGAGCATTTGGCGCTATTGTTGCTTTTCATCATATCATACAACATATTTCAACAAAATCTCTCTTAAATTTTTTGAGGTGCAACAATAGCATGCAGATCTACACTCAGTGCCTTAAACACACATCAAACAGTCTAAGTTACTCACGTAAGAAAAAGATGGACCTTGCTGTATTGAATAATGTGGTATAAAACAAGTGTCAGTATCATTTCCATTACACAGACATTTTTATCGTTTTTCCTGTATTAAAATAACCAATACACAGTTTCCATGCAAATAAACCAGAAAAAAAACAAAGAAAAACAATCTATTGCAGACATACCAAGTTGTGTACTGGAGTATTTTAACTGAATTAAAAAAAAAAAAAAAAGACCTGAACCAAAGAGATGGGATTTGGATTCAGTCCCAGGTCAGTCTCCCAGGACCAGGCAGGGACAGATATTTTTATGGTAAATCCCCAGCTCTTCTCTGGTGCACTGCAGGCATTTTGCTATTGATTATTTTTTTAATGACTGAAATTGCAGTGTCAGTAGCCCCAGGCACTGAATTACTACTTGTCAACGCATTATAGAACAATTTAGACTTTCTCTCAACCTTCATCTGGTGGATATTTGCCTTCACGCCTGTCTTGGAGCCAGTTTAGTCCTGAGACTCATGTAATTCCCTAGAGGAGTGAGCTGCAACTACAGCTACATACTCAGTAGGAATGGCCCTGAAACCACAAGTTCATTTCCCCCAGCCACTGAGAAGGACTCAGTTGGATGAAATAAGTTTTTTTTTTCATAAACATTCAACAAAGGAAAACTATGCCTTTAATACTGGACTGTTTCCAACAACTTGAATCACAGATTTCTAGAAAGTACTGCCCCAAAGGGACATCTACTTCTTCCCCTTCCCTGAAGTACAACAATTACTCATGGTGGAAGAGGCCAGGCAGTGCTTTGGAGTTTTCTATATGTAGGTATATAGCACAGACAAGACCCAGCACAGGTGTGGTTGTGAGGTTTTTACTTTGTTTTGCACTATGCTACTAATTCCTTATTTTTCACTCAGACTTACACTTGGGACACACTGACATTTCTCCCTTAATGAATCTCTTTTTGTCATAAAAGTAAATTGCTATTTATTTATTTAATTATTTATTTCCTCAGGAGTATTTGGGTAGCATAAAAAGGGCTGGAAATGATTAGGACCTGGAGTTACATCAATGAAAACAGCAAAGACAGGCGAGAACTTCAGCCACACCAGTATCTCAGAGAACTGCATCAACATAAATTAATATTACAGTTCAGAGCAAAATGATGAACTTTAATCACCAAGGTAAGGTTATTACAAATTTTGAAGAAAGTACTTTATTTAAAATCTGCCTTCCAAAATTTTTCTGTGTCAAAGGAACAAAAAGAAGTAATAGGATATATTCTGGAACTCTTTGCTACTTTGCAAGAAAATATGCCTGCTAACAAAAGTGATCAATACTTTAGGAGTTTAAAAGTTGTTACACATTTTTTCTGTTACAGTAGAATAATGCTTTAGTTAAAAGCTTTTCCAAACTTCTTATTTTCCAGGGGCCAAGGGTAGACAAAGGACCCAAGCCCGTGCAGAATTTAAGTCTTTCATGTTATGATATAAATAGGTGCTATGCGTATAGAAAGCTATGAATATTTCTCTTCTAACAAAGTACATTCTGATTTGATGCCTAAGAGGATGTCAAACAAAAGATTTTTTTTTCCATAAACACAGAGCTGTGACCTAATTGTGTACTCTTAATATGTCGACTATTTGGCAAGCCGCAGACGTTGAATTGCTGTTAGCAATAAGCTCAGTATAGTCCCAATAGTCAAAAAGGAGAGTTGAATACAGAAGAGCTCACTCACAGTGATGCTGGTGTCCTTTTTGCCCTTATGTGATGAAGCAACAACGGCCAGGTACTGAATGACCTTTTTGGTGTTCTCTGTCTTGCCAGCGCCAGATTCACCTCTGAGGGGAAAGAAAGTAACACAAAGAAAGCTAGGTAATTGGTGAACTCCTTCTGCCATATGATGTATGTCATGTATAAAAACAAGACTGGAATCTGCCTGGCTCTGTAAATATCCCAGAACACGGTCTCTCTAAATCCACCTGACTTTAGCATGCAAAGAACGCAGTATCAGAGATGTATCTCTGTCCCATTCGTGTTTTGACTGGACACTGGGCCATTTAAGGCAATTGTAAAACATTTTTTATGGCAGTGCCTGAACATTCATGAGAATTGAGGCTGACAGGGAGTCTGCTCATACTTAAAGAACAACAACAACAAAAAACATTAACTATAATGTGGTACAAGAATAAGAAAAGCAATCAACAAGAATACAATAGTTTTCTCTATGGAAATTCTGGAATTAAAGCAAGTTATATTAATGCTGGAGAATAAGGGGATTATACTGCCTTATCTGACCTCCATGTTCAAACTGTCTATGAATTCAATGGGACCAGAGCTGGCACTGCTGGAGGCATCCCTGCTAACAGGGCAGCAGGGACATCTCTGACCATATGGGAACATTTCTGACTAGCAGAACTGCTATCCTGGCTGTGCTCTATCTCTTGGGAAGCAGGAATGCACCTTCCAGAAGACTTCCATGGTTAAATTTATTTACATCTTCCAAGTCTTCTCATAAAATAAAATGCTAGTTTTCAAAGTACAGGAACAAGGACCCAGATTTACAGTCTTTACTCAGAAGTAAGAGCATTTCCAGCCTACACTTCCCTCTTTGTCACATTTTATCATCTCAGTTCTGCTAAATACCTTTGACTCTGATGATGATATGGACTAGAATTTTTTATATTGTCCTGTATCAGCAGTCAAAAAGGGCATGAAAGTGGGTGTGAATGTAGTAATTTAGCTCTTTTGACTCTATCAAACTAGTGGTGTGAGGACAACAGTCTACATGGAAGTCAGACCTCTGTGCCTTTGGATTTAAATTAAAATGAATTTAAAAATAAAAAGAACAATACATATAAAAGTCCCACAGATATTTGTCAGCTCTTTTGAAACTGAATCTGTTTAGCTTGATCCACTGCAGTTGTGCTTCTTTTCCTAATTAGGAAATAGAGGAGTTAATTTTTCCTACTAAGGGACTAGTGAAAAATGGACATTAAAACATATGAGTAAATGCTGGGAAGAACTTTTAAATTGTGGTGACATCGATTAAACCTTAGGAAGCCAGAAACAATTTCTGTCTGATGCACATCACGATGAGGAACGTTTGGAGTTTTAACCAGAAATAATTGAGTTGGTTCCTTTTCACAAGACCTGGGTTAATTTGCACAGTTTAGAGGTTGGATCCATCCCTGCCCTGGATTTCAATGCTAAAATATTTCCATGTTTTATTGATAAAAATTAAGTGTTCTGGGAACAATTCCAAACCAAGCACACCAATTTGAAGACATATGCGTACAAAGTTTTCAAATAAATCTACCTTGCATCTCTGATACTTTGGAAAAAAATAAAAGCATTCTTCAAACAAACTCTAGGCTTTGAACTATTCTATTTTATTAAAGGTTATTTGTAGTTCATCACTACAAGAATTGCATTTCCTTTCTCCCAGGGCAATAGTGCCCATCATTTGGCTTTTCCCTGAATGCCTGTGAGTATTACCATATAAGGCATCATTTTACTTGTAATTATCCTACCATACTGTAATGCTTTAGTTACTTAACATTTTGTTCTGTGCTTGCTTTCCTTAACTCTTTGCTCCTGCACAGCTTTCTATTTTCTACAGCTATTCTTTTTGAGCTTTTAAATTCCTTTTGAAGTGGACAATAACAAATCCTTCAACATGAAATGGAAATGTTTCAACATGAAATGGAAAACAGACACGATCTCACAGCAATAAGGATGAAAAAAAAAAAAAGTAATGAAGTATCGTGTTCATAACTGATGAATACTTGTAATTTTTCAACACATCAAATCACTTTTAAATGTCCCTGGCAATACACAAGTCTGATAAACAAGTACTCATTAAACAACAAGGATGCAGCAAAGCTGTATGACAAGGTCTAGACTTCATCTCAGTGATAGAGTACCATGTGTTTGAAGAGTAATTAATTAAGAGGAATAGCTGAATTAGGTTCAGTGCCTTTAAACATAAAGAAGCTTACAAGGAGAAATATCTGGGAGGAGGAGAGCATGTGACTCCATTGATTTCATAGGTGAATTAAACTTTTCCCAGAACTATTGAGCTGCAGCAGAACTGGTCATGCTGCTTTTTTTTCTCAGCATCTTTCTTGAAGTACCATTGTTTCTAGGATGGCAGAAGCAAGTTTTATTGTCAGGTGGTATGAAGAATCCCATCTGTTTTAAATCTGCATGCTCTCTTTAGTCTCAATGATTCAATTGTTAAAGAAAGGCCTGATTCTTGCAAGGATTGTGATTGCAGCATGGCCATACACACAATGGGGTTCCTCCCAGGAGGCATCTTCTGGTTGTCTGTGTTCCTCAATCTGTAGCCCAAATCATGTTCCAAGTGAGGAGTGCACTATACAAAGTCTATTACCTCTATCCTAATCATTTTGGGGAGCAGACAGATCACTTGTTTAACTGAAGTATCTCAAATCATTCTTATTGCTGCCATACTTAGAAGCAGCGCATTTATTGCCAGTGCACTTCTTTTCACCCAGCTCAGGTGGGCAATGCAAAAACAAAGAGAGGAAAATGTTGCACAGCTGTGATAGTCCAACAGTAGTACTTAATACATATTTTCATCCTAAGAAAATACATTTCATCTGCCTTGTTTTCCCAGAGTAAAAAGATATACTAGGCTTATAAGTTTGCTACGCTAAAAAAAAAACAACCATGAAACAATGCTCTCTCATTGTGTGACGTATTTTAAATTTATTCCTCCTTCATTTCTTGCCAGGCTTTTTTTTTTCCTTTTCTTTTTTTTTTTTTTCCTGTTTTGTTTTGTTTTGTTTAGTAACTCAGTAATGGATTTGAAGGACATAAGCACACTTACATAGTGCTACTCAATCCTCCGCAACTCCATTGCCTTCAGCTTGAATGAAAATTATCTCAGTTTGAATAGGTTTCCAAATTAGCACAAGGTGAGAGTGGGAAGCTGACCGCATTGGTGTGGGGTAAACCTGGGGTGTAGCTAGGACTGCTGCATGTTTGGGGAAAGAATAGTTAAAAAACTGGACTTTTTGTTGAAAACTTGAAAGCTTTCTATATTAATATTATGATATAAGACTTAGCTTAATTCCACTTTTGGAAACATCTAAAAAGTAACAGCAGGATTTATTTCCAGCATCTGTTTCAGCAAGCAATGAACCACAAAAATTGACCATTCACACATCCCTTAATCTGGCTACTCTGGCACTGCGGGAAGCCTCTGTGAACACAGCAGTCAATGAGGTGCTCCAAATCACATTAGGGCTTGGCAGGCTTCATCCTCCAGTATGAGATGTGCAAAGATAACGAAAATCTTTGTCCTAGACCAGCTGAATCCCCAAAGAGACCTCGCTCAGAAGCCAGCCCACCGATCCCACTAAGTTTATTTACAAAAAAATCCCAAGAGACTGAGCTGGTTCGGCACCAAGCTCCACCCCAGCTACACAAGATAACCACACGGGAGAGGAGCCAGACAGCATTGCTTCCAGCTCCAGCCTTTGAGATTTAGTGTGCTGGGAAAGAAAAGAGTTTAGCTCTCTTGCAGAGGAGGCTTTGCTTAACAAGACTTTGCAATTTGGAAGATGTCTTGGGTGACTGCTTCTTGACATTTATCACAAGAGAAAGTAGGTGGAGGTAATGAAGCCAAGTGAGGCTCTGGAGAGTTTGCCCCAAAAGGGAGGGTAAAGGGTGGTCACTGCCTCACCCAAAATTGTGCCTGTGGCTGTCCCAAATTAAGTGCAAACACTACCCTGCTCTGTATATTTTGATAGAAGCTAATCAATCTAAATGTATGCATTAAAAAAAAGTAGATGAGCTCTTGGCAGCATCCCCAACTATTTCTATATGAATTCTTATAGCTACATTTTTCACAATTTAAGTACCAGGCCTTGGAAAGTTTGAGTCTATACCTATTGAAAGAAAAGATCCCAGGTGATCAATGCCATGAGTTCTTCAGTTCTTGTTCTGTATTTTAGGCAAAAATATAATTCCTTAGAATTTTTAGTAATTATAAAATACTGTGAATTGACTGAAATGAGAGCTGCCCAGCTGAAAGCCAAGTGAATTTTCTTGTTTCTGTACAGACAAATAACATACGATAAATTACTAGTAGTTAAAGCTGTGTATACTGATTTTAGCTTAAATAATCTTGATTTAAAAAACCAGTGAGAGGAATTTTTCAAGCTATGGGTCATGATGCCAATCCAACATGCAGCAGCTATTCTAAACAAGATTGTTTTCCAGATGGGAAGACATTTCATTCTCTCTATTTTATGTTTTAGTGGTGTGAAATGCTTTATGTTTTCAGCTCCCAGGTAAGGAAAAAAAAAGTATTCATATTCAATAAATTTTGTAGCCATCAGAAGTGAAAAAAAAGAAATGAAAAACAAAAAAAGAAATGAAAGAAGTGAAAAAAAAAGATTTTTAATAAGCAAAAAGGAATTGAGTTGCAAAAGAAATTTCATGAAAATAAAATAAATCTTAATATTCCAAGATTAAAAGATCAGAAGTGTTACTGATACAATAATAAAGTAAGGTGCAGGAATAGAAGGACGAAATGCACAATTTAAATTAGTCTCCATTACCATGACATGTTTCATCCTGGGCAGAAAGTGATGGTCAATTTTTATTTAATCACTGCATTGATTTTTAGATCAGTTTTGGTTTTCATGCATATTTGGACAGATTCGTGACTGATATACTTGCATGTAATTGAAATCTGTTTATGAAAGAGGTCAGAGCTATGCTAGTCTTTGTGGTACAGTGTAATCTCTACTTCTTACTCGATGAATTTGTTCCAGCCAGCAATGGCACTCACCAGTACCTGCTTGGCATTGTTTTCTAAAAACAGCCAGTAGCTACATTTTTATGGATAACCTCCCAAAACCAGTTCAGTTTGCAACTATGACATGTATTTGCAATCTGCGTCTGACTACAGCATCACTGTATAATCCTGCTATCAATACTATGCATGCCATCTTCTGCAAACAATTATTTGTTTTTACATGAATTGAATATTACCTTTTTTCAGGATAACTGGAAGATGTGTAATACAACAAACATAAAATTAAGTCAAAAATGTCTTCAATAGCACTGAAGTAAATAAAACCAACTGATAAGCCATAGAGGAATGTGGTTGTTGTCATAGCTGAAGGTTACATAGAAGATCCCCATCCAATTAAACAGCCTGAGTGCTTTGCAAAAATTGGTAAGGATGATAAGCCAAGGAGATGTTGGGGAGTAGCATGTCACATACAGCAAAATTTATTGCAATAAAATCACCATCTGACCCATGGTACACTAATTGCCCCCACAACATCTGGCATTGATGGCAGGTCAGAACTCAAAGAGCAGAACATCAGCAAGCCAGGACTCAGAAAAATCAAGGCTTTTAGAATAGGGCTGGCTTAATTGTTTTGCTATTGCCTAAAGCAATTACATAAAGACTGCAGAAAGGTTCATGTAGTGCACTGTGCACTTAGCCAACGCTCCATGGCTTTGCACACAGGCTTCCAGGTGGGCTGTGCCAGCATGGAAGTGCCAAGCCTTGGCTGCTGTAGCTACACAATATGCAAACAACCCAAAATAACATGAACAGAAAAGATCAATTTCTTAAAATGACAACCGATTTAGGATATGACGGTAGGCTGCTGATGGGCAGGAATGAAAAGCAGTCCAGTTAATACCCAGCATTCACAGAATCACAGAATCATGTTCCTCAGTTTTCTCAGTTTTCTTAAGGGACTTCTTAACCTACAACTACAGTCCCCAGCTTCTTGTTGTAAACTCTGAATTCAAAGTCAGTTTAAACTGAGAACTTTGTGCATTGAACACATATTATGGCAGTGATATTGCTTCTTATTTTGTCAACAAGCAAATCTACTGGGACTGCAGGTCAAACTCTTTGAAGGTGAGGATATATCAGTTCCACCAGAATTTGAACTGATTCTGAATAAGGGATGACATAGTAATATTGAGATGTAACAAAATAGCACTTTACTTACGTGCACAGGATAGACTGGTCTTCTCGGTCTGTGAATTAAGAAAAAAATCCATTAATTAGGGAGAATAGCTAAGTCCTGACAGAAGTACTTATATTTATAATGACTTAACTGAGCAATCTAGACCTTTCAAAACCTGACAATTCACAATTAGTCAAAAGTACAGGGTTCACATCTTATTTAATTTGCCATCATATTTAAATAAGGATCTCTAATGGAAAAATTTTGTACCAAAAAATGAACAAAAGGTTAAGAGTTCAAAAATATTTTTTCATAAATTCCATGAGAGATGAACTATAATGAGGACAGCAAAAAGATCAGACTCCCTATAAGAAGATTATAATTGATAATTTCAAGACTGAAACTTGAGTTGTTATTATGCTTATGAAATATGGCTAGCAGCCCACTTCAGACAAAGTCTGGACAGATAAGGCACCAAAAACTAAGAGATTTTATGGTAGTCTTTAGATTTTGAAAGCACAGCAGTCCAAATAGAATCACAGAATCATAGAATAGCCTGGGTTGAAAAGGACCACAATGATTATCTAGTTTCAAACCCCCTGCTATGTGCAGGGTCGACAACCACCAGACCAGGCTGCCCAGAGCCACATCCAGCCTGAGTGCTCTTTTCTCTCTATTTCATTTCAGATTTAGAAATGTCTTTTTTATCAAAACGTATCCTTCTGCCTGGAAGGTATCCTCAAGATTGAGAAAAAACAAGATACATTTTTTACAACAGCATATCAACAAGAACGTAAGTATTCTTCATGTTTTACCATGAACAGGATTGTCAAACAAATATTGGATGAAAATTTATAAAAATGTGGGCCAAAATCTCTATTTCTACCGTGTAAGGCATGTAAGAGGTTTCTGTGCTGCAGTCCAATACACCGTAATGTTGCAGCACGGTTTAGAAGCACATCTTGTCATGTATCTCCCTTTTTAATGTATTTGGAGTTGGAGTTTCTCTTTACCTTCAGAACTTTTGCACAGAATTTTCTACCAAAAGGCTGATCTCAGGACTTTAGGCTGTAATAGTGAACACACACTGAGGTTCATAATGTGCTCCATAACATTGACATATTTCCCAAAGCTTCACTGAAAGAAGACTTCCAGAAAAGTCTGTGATACTGACAGGCTTTACAATTTGGTCTTTATGGCAAGATGTGTGTTTAGCATGTTTGCTGTGATCAGTTCTGAAGTAGAACCCTTTTTTAAAACTGGAAATGTTCAGCACCACAAGAGGTTATACAGAAAGGTGTGGTGTCTCCATCCTTGGACATATTTGCAGATAGATTAAGGCTATGAGCAACTTCCATGGCATTGAAACTGGCCCTTCTTTGCAAGAGGCTGCATCAAACTGCCTTCTACAGACTGTAGAAAAATCTTCTGAATAAGCAAACAAATTCCCAAGTTGGTCAAATGCATATTTGAAATGTGCTTGGCTTATAAACCTGAGACTTGCAGCAGACAGTTAAATAAGGCAGAAGCAAACGTGTCTGTATATTTATGTATTATCCACCAGATGCAGAGTGAGCATTAGACCAGTGAAGCCTCTGGGCAGAAGTTAAGACACAAACCCATTCCTCATTTTGTTTTGTGAGTTGGATGACTTGCAGGGCTACCTATCTGGTTGCTCACCCTTATCGCTGACCTTGCATGTAATAAATGGCATGAGATAAACAAGCTTTCTGTACTGCACAAGGATAATAGAGATAAATTCAGCCTATTAAGCTTACAAGTTGTAATTGCTGCCTGGACCACAGCCAGCCTAGGAAAAGCAGTAGTGGATTCTGCTTTGGCTTGGATTGATATTAAATAACTTTATTTACTCCCAGTTTCTCATTAACATTCAAACTGGTGTTATAACATCAATTGCTTCATTGATCCCTTGCTCAGAAAATGGCACCACTTAACTGCTTTGGTTGGTGAACTGGTACAAAATGAATCATTACGTTGCTGTCGGAGGTATTTGTCAACACTGCAGGACTCTTCCACATACACATTTTGGAGGAGGGGAGCTGTGCGCAGTGTTTATTTTTCACTGTAGGATACTGAACTTGGTTTTCTTTAAAATTAAAAAAATGAGAACGCAGTAGAATTTTTGCTAAAAATACACTGTTGTGTAAATAAAAACCATTGGCATATATTGATATTACATCACAAACCCATAAATATCATAAAGAAAATAAAAGTGACTCCTTGATACAGAGTTGCCAGTGGAAATTCTGAGCTCAGGGGACATTAGAAAAAGTAATATTCCTGCAAGCCAAGTATTTTTTCATTTCTCTGCCTGTTGCTGCCCCTCTTTCCCTCCCCATGATAGACCCCTCTTGATCATGTCTTATACAAAGGAATGCACCATAGGCATTTGTGCATGTGCACTTTGTGACTCTGATAGCAATTAGCCTGAAGGCTACTGGGAGTTCTTGGAGGGAAAAGAAAAACTATGTTGTTTTTTCTCTTTTTTCATCTTTTCCTTGTAATCCTGAATGGCTTCTAAGGCGCGCCTGTGCAATCCAATTGTTCCCTGTAAGTGGGCAGCCCTATGGCTTTCTTGCAGAAGTCTGTGAGGAAGCAGAAGGAAAAGACTGTGCTCTTGGTCACCGGATTTATCCCTTTCTAATGCCCCAGGCACTTGGCAGCTTTATGAAGTCCTGAAGTAATAAGCCCTATGTTGCTAAGTTGTGCAGTCTGACCTGCAAAACCTCCCACTGACATGCTGGCCTCTGCACGTTCATGGAGGGAGAATATGCAACATTGCTCCATTTCCTTCAAAAGTTTCAACATATTGCAAAGGTAAGGATGAAATCAGGAAACCAAATCCTATTCTGTTTTGTCTTGAGCTGCAATGCCTGCCTCATTTGTTTTCCAGGACTCTCCAGATTGATTGCTTCTATTTCTGTTCCAAAATATTTTATTTTCTATAGGAAGGATTGTGCCCTGTTTTGGGACTCTGAAACATTATGTGGGTAGATTTAGCAGAAGAAAACGACTTGCACAAAATAAAACTTGATAAGCATAATTTCTGGGGCTCACAAAGTAACAAAATATCTTCTATGTTCCAATATCTCTATGGCAAATACCTTTTTTAAGAAATACTTGGAAGACATTCACCCCCTGTACGTCTATATTAAACATTTTGGACATTTTTGGATTTTCTCCTGAATATTTAATAGTAAACTGACCTACTTCACTGTCTAAAATCCACCAGCTTTCCTAACCATGAAATGGATTTCTTTTTCTGGAATATGCTACACTTTTTCACCAAACACCTCCAGTTTGCTTGTAGGAATCATACGCCCCTCTGTTCTCAATAGACACGCTAGTTCTGCTTAATCACAAACAAAATCAGATGGTTTATCACAATGAAGCAGCAAGCTGGCAGCTTTACCATAAAAGGGAAGAACAGATTGAAGCCAAGTTCCAACACTGACTGCTTCTTTACATTTGTTAATAACTGTACTGCCTAAAGGGGACTTTTCTGTATGGTCCTGCTAAGGACACAGTAAACAGCTGGGTTTTCATGCAGCTTCCTTTTCTAGGACCTTGGGAACTGTGTTTCCCTCCCAAACCTCCAAGTAGCTACAAGCTTGTTTGTTTTTCCATCTTTAACTCAAGCTTGCTTACAAAGTGCTTTCATGAAAATGGCTTTGCAGAAAATAGATAAGTTTCCTGGAGATGAAGAAAGCCTCAGTATGTGTTCTCAGTATTATTCAGAGCATGTAATAAAAGCATAATCTTCCACATGAAAAAATATTTCTGTTATTACTGCTACACAACCTGATTTTCCTTATTTGTGCTGTTTATCACACATTTGCTGTTCGCCACCTGCAGAGACAATAGCAGAAGGCAGCAGAATTACCCATCCTCGCTGGACTACTCTCACTGGCATCTGGCAGTGCTGCAGAAGCCATCCACCCATCCACCCACCTCTGGCTCCTCTGCCCTGGACCATGGTGCCCCCTCTTGTGCTGCATCATGCCTTCATGCAGCGACACTGCACACCAGGCTGCAGTAACACACTATTAAATGAACCTAGCAAAAAGCTGAATCGTTTCTGCATGAAGACTGGTGCTGGGAGTATTGGGATGAGGAGGCTGAGCCCTTTGCATAGCCAGAGTGCAGTGCTATTGCAACTGCAATGAGAAGCTACTGCATCCATAACACAGGGTATAGAGGTCAGTAAAGAAACATAAGGGGTCTTTTTTAGGATCGTTGTCTCTGGCATCCAAGTATTCAATTTCTGTTAACAGTAGCTGTGTTGTTACAAGAACAACTTTGATGGGACTTGAACATCATCTCTAATGAATACATTAACCAAGTAAGTTGTGAAAACAGAGGAGGAGCCTTTTTGCTGGATGTTTGTGCCAACAGAGGGTTTGAATGTGAAGGGTTCTGATCTCCAGCTGATGAACCTGCAGTAGGACCAGCTATTGGCTGACACCATTACTTGACTGGTTGAGAGCTAGAGGTAGCCCAGGACATTTGAACAAGCTGACTGCTTTTGGCCAGGCAGTCCTGATCTCAAAGTACTATAATGTAATTCTTCAGTCTCATGAACCTAAGATATATGTTAGTTTGGCAAGAAGAAACTAAGCAAGTTTCTCAGATAAGGAGTAATATTGATGTTTCTCAAGTAAAACATCCAGTGCCCTGATCCATGTTTATGAACATGAATCTCTCTCTTTATACTCCCTTTACATATGTGCTTACAAAGTCCCATGCACTCTGTCCATTTGTATTGCATACACACACACTCTATTATGTTGATGCCCACTCTCACCACCTCAGCATGAATACAATTTGGCTACATAACTAGTTACATTAAGCTTTGGTTTAGTTTTATGAACAAAACACAAGTCTGTTTTTCCAAACAAAAGCTCAGCTTTAAAGGCAGCTGGGGCCCTCTTCAGAGATGGAGAGACTCCAAAACTGCATGTGCAAGTAAATAAGCAAGTAAAGCGTGGGCGTCCTGGGCTTGTGATGCAAGTTCTTGTGGGAAGGGTTTGACTGCTATGCCAGCTGTGTGTGGTTAGGAAGAGGTAGTGGAAGTGCCTCTCTTAAAGTTCAACTTATGGTCTGTTCCCTCCTCCTTTCTTTCCCCTTCCTTCCTATTTGTTCTCCCCTTCCTCTTTTCTATCAGGAAGGTTTCCTTCCAGAAAAGACACATGAATCATAAGGTATGAAGATCCATCAAGATTTGGTGGGGTCAGAACATTATTCCAAGCACCAAAAAAGTGAATAGAAAGAAGGGAAAGCATCCACTTGTGCTGCCTTCTCCTCCCAACCTGGGAGGCACAGCTAAATCCTGGATGTTCTAGAAGTAGTTAATGACTGAAGTGAAGGGTCATCAAGCTCAAGTGGCTTCAAAAGACCACCAGGAACAACAGGAGAGAGGAAGAGTGAAAGAGGTCCTTATGATGTTGGGATCAGGCAGAGTAGTAGTTTCATCTTAAGAAGGAAAATCATATATACTGCTACACTGAAACACTCCTTATTTTTCAGTAGTAGATGCAGTATTACATTCCTTTTTTTTCCCTGTTGGTATCTTGCAGCACTTTCTTAGTTGACTTTTCCTTCATCCCACTTTTAGGGACAAATAGAGTTTTGTGCTGAATGAGAAGGGTACTGCTGAACTTCTTGCATAGCTCCCCAGTGAGGCTCACTGCTGAAAGGCTTTGGGGAAAGAAGGCTGCTTTGACAGCAGAGCCTGCTCAGAACCCTGAGAAGTGCTGCATGCAGAGCACAGAGATCAACACCTGATCTGCAAGGCAGATAGATGGCTGAAGCTTACAAGGATCTGCTTCTACCAAGTAAGTTTCTTTCACCTGTGGCTCCATTAAATGAGATTCAATGCATCATGTTGTTCTAAAAGCTTAAACCTGTCCTCTCAGCCCTAAATATTTTTTATATACCTGTCCTTGTTGTTAAAGTAAGGAGGAATGTCTGATTTCAGTATGTCTGTTATTGGTGCTTTATTGATCCTCCTTTGCTGCACTGTAATTCTGCCTCCTGTGGGTGATAGAGTTGATACAGCTCCAGAAAAGAAATGTTCCATAAGTGACAGGAAGAAAAAATGTTGATGTTTTAAGGCAAAGTTTATAGTTCATTATATTTCAAGTATGTGCATGTCTGAAAATGTAAGATCCTAAGGTTAGAAACCAAAGTTACAATTAGCTGATCAACTCACATAAGTAAATGATCTTCAGGTGGTTTTTGTTATCTGGGTTATTTTGTTAACACTGCAGTTAGTACAGAAACTACTCAAGACATCTCTGGGGAGAAAAAACCTGCTTTGATGCTTTTGATATCTGTCACCATTGGTGCGTGTATCCTTATGAAGTGTTTGTTCCAAAATAATAGAGATTTGGTTGATATTTAAAGACAGCAGAAGTCTGAAAGATGGTCAAATTAGACAGCACAGAGGCTTATCATATACTTTGTCTACTTTCTCTACTCTGAGCCTTGAATTATAACAACATGAACCATCTGCAATGTTCTGAACAGACTGATCTTAAGATCTAGTCAACTTACTTCTTTCAGATTTCAACCACAGGAGTGCTGCAATCATTGTGATCACAATGTGTGCCAGGGTCATGGTTAGATAAAGTGCAAAATGGTTTTGAATGGATTAGTATCTCCATAGCAATTGCTGTTCTCTGTTTGTATGTAAACGTTGCTAAGAAGTCAATGCTGGGTATTTATCTAGCAGCTAAACTGACATTTCTAGATGCTGTTAATCATTTTTCCCCTGTCAGACCAAAAATCCGTAAGCACTAAACCCTTAGATCCTTAAACCTGAAACAAGGCAGCCCTGAGCTTCAGGGCTGGGTTTGCAAATCTTGTTGAACCACAGTTGTAGGGCAGAACTTCTGCAGGAACAGACCTCAAATGGAGATTTACATTTCAAAGTGTTCTGCAGCCTCCTGGTTCCCCCCGAGCACCCGAGGCTGCTGTGAGATGGCAGCCAGTCACGTCCCTGCATTCTGTAGATATTGCAGCCTTGTGTGGTCATTGCTATAGCATTTTTATCTCTAAATGAATGATCTTTCCTTAGGACAAAATCCTCTTAGCCTGTCAGGATTCAATGCAGAAATTCCCTATGTGTTTTTAAGGTCTCATTGTATGCTTTGAGGTCTGACTCCTTTCCCACTGCTGTTCCATTAGAAAACAGAGCACATCTCAACTCAAGACTCCAAAGCATTAGACTGTACTAACAGTAGTCCCATAGTGTTATTTCAATCTGCTTACTAGGAGAGAGCGAGGAGCAATGCTGACAGATACAACAGCCTTAGCAGCTAACTTTGGAATAGTCTCCACTGGTGCAAAGGGAGCGTTTTCCATGCCCGTATTTGCCAAAACTATTTGCTCAACTTTGAAACCTTCCCACATGCCTCGACACAGATGGGTAAAAGGATTGTTTTTCCTTTTTGAGTCAGTGTTTGTGGAGTGCCGTCCCTGCCAAAGAATTCCACCGAAACTTCTTGAAAGTCCATGTCTCCCTCTGTATCGGAGCTTTTCTGACTGTGCTTCTTGCAGGAGCACAAGTGCAGCAGTACATTGTTTTCTCTCATGTTAAAGTGCAGTGATTTCTAAGAACTTGCCTACCTTGCAGCATGCTTCTGTAGGCTGTGTCTGCAATAGCGTAGATGTGGGGCGGCATCTCATGCCTCTTCTTTCCCTTGTACATGTCAATAATCTTCTCTGAGTAGATGGGCAGCTGTTTGTATGGGTTTACCACAACGCAGAAGAGACCTGAATAAGTCTGCAATGAAATTCAAGTGAAAAAGGGAATTAGTATTGTGTACTGTATCTAGATTGGGACACACAGGCATCAACTGCACTCAACTAACAGGATTTTAGCAAATAACAATTATTTTTCTCAATTTAGTATGGCAAATGAAGTGGCCGTTTCTGGATGTATGTGTATGAGTGCAGCTTCCAAGTGCATAAATAATTATTTCTAATAAGGAAATTGACAGAAAGTATGTAATTTTTTTTGCTTGTGGAAACACTCTGCTTTGATATGATGCTGCACGATTTTTTCACTTCAGTTGTTTTTGGTATGTAGTGGATCACCTTTATTTGTGATGACCTAGGGACTACAGTGCTTCAGAATGTTCCTTCTTACATGTATTTGTGTGCTGGAATGTTATTTGCTCAGGCAGATATCAAATTCTTAAGTCTTAGATCAGAAGTTTGGGTTTATGTTGGGCATATAACCACCACATAGCAGTAATGATTAATGTGAGTCTTTGAAAAAAAATGACTCCAGTTCCAAACAGATCTCTTATCAGAATGGCCATATACCTTCAATAAGCAACAGTTTCTATAAGAGACTCAAGAAAAAATCTGTTTTATGTGTTCAGTTTTCTGAAGGTATTTGTGTAAAAATGAATACATAAGCAAGAACACTGGACATCAGCTGATGGCTATTCATCCAGGCTGTTAGGTTTAAAAAACGTCCTTTGTGTCAGGAAGCTCCAGCTTATTGAACTGGAAACAGAAATATCAGTGAGTGATAGTAGATGAAGTGTCATATATTAGAACAATTAGTAAAAGTAAGCAAAGTAAACAAACACAAAAAATAAATAAAGAAAAAGAAATGATAGTTGCAGCCCTTAAGCCAGCCTATGGCTACTATTTTCTGAAATGACACCAGTCTGAAACAAATGGAATAATGAACTTTTGTCCCTTATGACTTGGACATTGTTTGGATTCCCCCAGTTCATGAGCGAGCGCTGTACTGCGCAGCGCTACCTTGCCCTAACCTCAGAGCTGTGTCTAAGGACAGCGCAGGCCGCCTCAGTTCCCCCACAGGAACCAGGATAGCACAGGACTGTAAAATGCCATCTCAAAGGCTTGGATCTGGGCACAGGGGTTTCCCTTTCCTGACCATATTAGGAAATGGCACAACACGGTCTCGGCACAGCCTGAGAGCTTTATATGGTACTGAGCAAACAGGGCGCGAGCGCCCATCAGGAGCAGGTTGGGTGCCTCGCGTTGGGCAGAACACGTGGGGTGCTCCGAGCATCTGTGAGGGCACCTCCTACCTTTACAGCATTGTGACCGCATCTTCACTAGCTAACTAACTCCCCCAAGTTAAAACTTTTGGGGAGGGTAAATCACTGCTACGCTGGCTTTTAATTGATGACAGAGTTTAGGACAAAACTCTGTGCTAACTGTGTTAAAATGAACTTTAGTGCTGTATGGTCAATACACTTGAAAAAATGTATCTTACATAAGCCAAAATGACCACTAGGCCCTTAAGGGAAGGATAATAAGATATTTTTTCAGTTGAAGTAGATGTGCTATATATACTCAACTACTAATATCCAGGAAAGTAAAAGAATAAATTTTCAATTCAGGAAGTTACTTAGGTCTCACTTCCCTGAGATTTTTAGATATTTTCCTGACTTTCATCATGCAAAGTCTAAATGTCTCTATATAGTTATTTACTTACACACCTAAGTGCCAACTTGGAGACACAAGAAGCAGGTTTTTAAAGCAGGAAAAAATCATAGAATCATCACAGAATCATAGAATGGCCTGGGTTGAAAAGGACCACAATGATTATCTAGTGTCAACACCCCTGCTGTGGGCAGGGCCACCAGCCACTAGACCAGGCTGCCCAGAGCCACATCCAAAAAAAGCCTGAGCTGATGAAGTTTGGGCATCTCCATTTCTAACTGGACTGCAACTGATACCTCCTCTCACCTGAGGGAGGTTAACCAGGACTTGTGGCTTCACCACTCATAGCTTTAGATGTTCTACAAAGATCTGGGGAAAACAGATTAATATAAACAGCGTTCAGAAGTCAAGGAAGCCAGCTAGCCAAGCATGGAGTTGAAAGTGGGATTTGAAATATCTGTGCCTTGGATTATTCTCCTGAGGTATGGCCTGTCCAAGGATGGGGATCTGCAGTCGTGTCCATCCCTGGAGAACCTGGGAGCAAGATATGATATCTTAGGGATAGTGTCCACACAGGATTGCTGTCCCTTGGACATCACCACTGATGGTTAAGAGGGACTTATGCAAATACATACATCTGAGCTGTTAATGCCTACATTTGGGCAGAAGTATCCCAACACTGGCTCCAATGTGCATGTATAGTTTCCTATAGACAATTTTACACCGTTGAGCAAAGATTGAATGAATAGTGCCTATGAGTGCAGGTATGAGAAACTTGTTTATGCTTCAAATTGACTTGAGTTTCTATTTTATTGATGCTTATACTGTGATTTTTGGTCTCATTTGTGTCTGGACAAAGCAGATTCTGTTTGTTCTCAGCAGTGTGAAACATGAGTTAGTGCCAAAGCACTTTTCGTTCCTTCTTAACTCCATCAAAGAAAAAGGTCAGGGTGTTCTTCCAGTGTATGGTTACTCTGAATTATTGCACACTTTTTATTTCCTCTGATTTAATAATATTTACTTTAAATCTAAGGACAGATGATTTGCTGTGAGACCTTTTTTTTTTTGCTTCAGCTTGGTTGATTTTTTTTTTTTTCTATAGCACAATTGGTTATCTCCACTTGCATCAGTGGTGCTCTAAAGGGAAGAACAGTAAGGTCAAGTTTTCCTTGTATGTGTGGGATTCCCAGGCAGGCAATGTAGGCAGCCAAGGCAAAGAGTGGAGATGGTGGTTTACAGTTTGTTTTGCAAGTAGATGAGAACAAAGCCAAAAAATCTGTTTATATCCCTCCCATATGTTTTTTTTCTCAAAAGGTGTGTCAGTGTGTAGTAGGACAGCCCTGTGCAAGGCTGGGCAATTTAAAACAGTTTTGGGTTTCCTGAAAATACTATTTGTATTACAAATCAGATTTTTTTTTTGTTAATTAATCACTATATTAAAATCTTGTCTCAGGAGAGAGAAAGAGAGAGAGCGCTTAATTTCAGATACACTTTCATGTTTGACTCCATGAAAACAAATTTTAACTTTTCAAAAGTGGATGATGCAAGTAAATTAACTTCCTGTAGGATGTGAGAGTTCCATTAAACTCCACAAAGTAAATGAACAGGAAGTCCTGAAACATCTGGTCTTTTTTTTTTTTTTTCCTAAAGAACAGACAAGAACAAACAAACAAAAAACCAAAACAAAACGAACCACCTCCTTCTCATTTTATCCATCTATACTTCTAGTAATTCCTTTTAAATTTTGCAACAATGCAAAACATTTTTAGACGAATTCCATTTTAGTAATCAACATTTTGTGCTCTAGTATTATAATAACACACAGCTCCCTCTGTTCACCCGTGGGCATAGAATCTAATAAATCTAAATGCTGAGAGCATGGAAAGTCTAGCATCTTTCAGGCATTTTGATGACATGCGTTTAATAGACTCCTGAAGGGAAGATCTTCAGCTTTAACTCTACTAAGTTATGCATAACAATTAAATGTTGGGTTTTTTTGTTTAACTATATATAACTATCTTATTTTCTGCTTCATTTCCTACCTTCCAATTTGGCATTCTTCAAATTAAAGAGAGCTCTATTCCTGCCTCTAAAACCACGTTACGTAAACTCTGTGCATTCTGTCACTCATTAATGGTCTGTCATGCAAGTAAAATTTCCATGGATTGAGTTTGTTGGTTACTTCTCTACAGCATAATGTAGGGATCCTCCATTTAAAATCAAAGATAACAGCTAAATTCCATGGAAATTTCCTGGCTTCTTTTATTGTGCAGTTTGACGACCACTTATGCAGATTATTAATGACAAAACATGATTGTGTTAACACACTTGTGTGAAATGGGAAGCAGAAAAATCTGGGCCCTGAATCACATAAACATAGAGAGATTAGAATTTACCCAGGCTTCTCTGATCTGTAACTTGACCAACAAAGGGGAAAAAAAAAAAAAAAGCCCTAATAGATGCATATCTTTGAAGGATATGAGCACTCTCAATTGAATTACAGTGGGATTTTTCATTTAGTCAAACATAAGGTTTTATCCAAGCAGCCACCAAACCAGAACTTGTCCATTGCATTTCACTGGTAGTTTGCCTGAGAAGAGACTATGTAACCTGGCCTTTTCATGTGTTCTTTTTTGAAGTTACTGTTGGGGCATATGGACTGAAAACTTGATCAGATTTCCATTTAAGTCATGATTTTCAAAGCAGCAGGACTGCTGTTTAACTATCAGAGGATGCTCTCCAAGTCAATAACATCATTTCATAATTAGCAAACTTTGGGGAAGAAACCTTTTATGTGTTTTAATTTAGTTGAATAAAGAGGAAAAACTAATAAAGCAGAAGAATCGTGGGGAAAAAAAGTCACTGAAATACATTTTTGGTTTAGGATTCTGTTGCTGAGAGATATGTACTTGCATGGCAATGTTATACACAAATACTGTATGCCAGACAGCAGGTGGGATCCACTTTGTTTGTGATGGGACGTGGTAGCATGCCAGATAAAATCTACTTACATAAATTAAGCCTGAGAAGTATCTCTCCCTTAGATTGTGCAGCACTGAAGCTTCATTGAGGCAAGTCAGCTCGGCCATGTCCTCCACTTTGGAGAACTTCGGAGGGTTCATCTTCTGGATATCATCCTTGCTCAGTGTCACTTTCTTTCCATTTTCCTGCAGTTCAACTGTCACCT